ACTACACTATACACTACACTTTACACTACATCATACACTACACTATACACTACTATACACTACACTATACACTACTATACACTACACTATACACTACACTATACACTACTATACACTACACTATACACTACTATAGACTAAACTATACACTACTATACACTACACTACTATACACTACACTATACACTACTGTACACTACACTATACACTACACTATACACTATTATACAACAACAACCGCCATTCGCCACGAAGTGGCAGTGACGTCATCACGACTCTTGTGCCAGGCTATGTGCACCCTGAGGCCACGTGAAGTGTCGAACACCCGCTGGCAGGAGGTCACGGGGCAGACCCAGGTGCCACGGGTCGACTGAGATGACTGGCTGATGCACCACCTGTGCCCCCTACTGTGCCAACCTGCTGTGCTTTAGCCACCTGGCGCTCCGCTCGTTGTTCTGAGCGTCGCTCCTCCGCCTTCCGTTGTTGTTGGAGGGTGACTACCTCCAACTGAACAGTAGCGTCCTTCACGAGCCTCCTCCACAGAGGCCAATCTTGACACCGCTGGTACCAGTCATCGGCAAGTCCACTCAGCTCCACGTCCTCCTGTACCACGTCACTCCATCTCTTCTCTAGCCCGTGCCGCGCCCGTTTAGCCCCCTCGATCCAGCCGAACAAAAGTTGTTTAGGCATGCGGTGGTTGGGCATGTGGGCTACATGACACAGCCAACGCAGCCTTGCCCGCCGGAGGAGCTCACCGATGGGACTTTGTCCAGATTTTTCAAGGATATGTGACCTCCTCACAGGCAGCTTCCACACAGCGTTACGCAACCGATGAAAAGATAATGCTGCTCAACTGATTCGGAGTGAGACCTCTGCTGTTAAACTGGAGCCAGTCATAAGCACACTGCCCAGGTATGGGAAACTCTCCACTCTCTCCACAACTGCCCTATCACCAATTGGGAGTTGTGTGTTGGAGTGTCCGATGGTACAAAATACCCAAACAGGTGCTAAGTTTTGGTGGGGCTGATGGTAAGGCCCCACCTCTTAAGTGGCAAGCTCCAGGTTCAGCAGCAGCGCCTCCAACTCTACCTCTGAGTGAGTGGCAATTACCAGATCATTGGCATACATAACATAATAGGGAGCCATCCCTTGACCGCACCCAGGCATTGATCAGCATCCCATTTTATCTGTACCAGATGGAAATTCCTCCGTTACAGCTATTGAAGGCTTCACAAACTACGTGGTCAAATTAGATGTTAAATAATGTGGGAGCCAGAGGACATCCCTGTCGCACCCCAAGGTGTACAGGGAATGGCTCTGACTCCCGGCCACGTAGTTTTACCCGGGCCCGCTCACCATCATGAAGCTCCTTAATGATCGTGAGCAGTGGGTCAGCGACCCCGAAAGCACGAAGAACAACCCAGAGCCCAGGCCTACTGATGGTATCATAGGCCTTGACCAGGCAAATAAAGCAGACATGTAGGTCTTGTTGGAATTCCCTACACCTCTGCTGTAGCAGACGGACACAGAAAATATGGCATCTGTGCAGGACCACCCTTTCCTGACACCACATTGGGGCTCCGCAAGCCTCTCCTCAGCGTGCCTGGCAAGGCGATGTTGAATAATCCTTGCCAGGACCTTTCCTGGCACACTGAGGAGTGAGATGCCCCTGTAGTTGTTACAGCCTGTGCAGTCCCCCTTCTTACAGAGGGGGACCACCAGGGCATCCTTCCAATCCTGCGGAACCCGTCCAGTGGTCCAGACTGTTGTTATGATGTCATATAGGGCAGTCTGTGCACACACGCCACCCTCCCTCAGCATTTCTCTTGGGAGATCATCTCTGCCCGATGCCTTTACTGGTCTCAGACTCCGAATCGCCTTCAGTACTTCCTCAACAGATGGTACCTCAGCCAGCCACTCACAGGGGGTGACTTCCTCCAATATGTGTGGCACCACAGCCTCAGCAGGATCATCCTTACTTTGTCCCACGATATTTTCCACACTGAGGGATTTTCCCTCCCCTAGGACCTCACAGAAATGCTCAGCAAATCTGCAAACCTGTTCCTGGGGATCGGAGATTGGATCACTGTTCTTTCCTCTAACGATGGTAATAGGTGTGGCGCTGCAGGTTATTTTTTTGATGGAATTAAATAGCAATTTGTGATCACGGGCCATTGAGGCAGACTCCATCTCCTCAGCAACCCGCGACCACCACCCATCCTTGCAGCGCCTCACGGCTCTCCGAACCTCCGAGCGAAGGCTGCGGTAAGCCTCCTCATTTTCTGACGTGGGATGCTGTAGACGATGGCAGTGGGCCTGTCGCTTTTTCTCAGCCATCCTGAACACCTCCTCTGTCAGCCAGGGTCTCTGATGAGGTCTGGACCATGTACCCAAAGCAGCCATTGCAGCTGCATGAGTCACAGTCCTAAACCTTGCCCATTTACCCTCGACATCAGGAGGAGTCGGGGACGATGCCAATCCAAGCCGCAAGCGATGATGAAATTCTTGCTTGCAACTTTCATCAGCTAGCTGAGACCAGGCCACCTTAGGTTTGAATGGGGATCTGGGTGTACACCCACTACCGGAGTGGCAGAATGGCAGGCGCATCTTACAGATGACTAGTCGATGGTCAGAGGGCAGATCAGCTCCACGGTAGGTCCTGGTGTCAAGGACATGGGCTCGCATCCGCTGGTCCGTCACTATGTAGTCCAGCAGATGTTCTTGCTTGGACCCGGCATGCATCCATGATGTTGTGTGGATGCGCCGATGCCGGAACAGCGTGTTGGCAATTACAAGCTCATGGGCTGCACAAAAATCTAGCAGCCTCCTACCGTTGTTATTGAGCTGATCTGGCCCATGCCCTCCAATCACTCCAGACCAGGTGCCAGTATCATGACCAACTCGGGCATTGAAGTCACCCAACATGATGACTCTATCCCGAGGGGCCACTTTAGCCAGCACCTGTGACAGGAGGTCATAGAAGGCATCTGACTCATCGGCTTTGCCTGCATCCCTCCATGGATGTTCATCTTCGGTAGGGGCATAAGTAACCACGACCACCATTCCTCGCCTCCGGTTGATGGGAAGGCGAGCCCAAAATTGCCTGGGGCTTACAGCTTCCCACACCTCACCGCGACGCTCCCACGCCCTCTTCATTCTTTTGTTCAAAAGAGCAACACCCTGTTGTTTGGCAGTCTGCTGCCCCGAGTAGAGGACTGTCCACCCCTCATGGTGGCAGGAGAGTAGAGGACTGTCCACCCCTCATGGTGGCAGGAGCCAGAGCCGGTCCACCGGACCTCCTGAATGCCGCATAGATCCAGGCGGTACCGTTCCAGCTCCGGACAGAGGAGTGGCAGCCTCTCCTCCGCAGTGAGCGTTCGAACATTCCATGTGGCCACCCGTAGTGGCTTTTCGTTGTTTCTGGTGGAGCCCCGAGGGTAGATATTCAATCTCCTGGCTCCGCCAATTGGGGTTTGGCCAGGAGACGTCATAGACGCCTGGCCCCCCGGGGCCTCCGGCACAAGCTTATTGGTTACATATTTCAGTTTAAGTCGTGGTTTCGTGGTAATTAATTGAAGGTGGAGGGGTTACCAGCCCCTCTCACCCGTCCAGAGCCCCCGTTTAGCCCCTGTGGTGGTCACAGACGCCATGAGGGGAGGAGCCAATCAAAATTGGATCTCCCCCCACAGCACTGTCCACGACAGAGTTGCCCGTCCGGCACCGCGAGGAGGTAGGGGGTTGTTTTGCCGGACACACACTGACACACACTGACACACAAACTGACACACACACATTGACACTGACACACACACACTGACACACACACACATTGACACTGACACACACACACACACTGACACTCACACACTGCACCAGCTACTCATTTCTTACTGGAGGAGCCCACACAATCAGCTCAGATACTCGCTGTCATCACGAGCATTGATCCACAGCCACGGTGGATAGGAGATGTTGACTACCTCGCCTGGTGTGCAGGAGGTCGTGGGTTCAATCCCTGCCACTGACGATGCCTGCTGCTGCTGTAGATTTGGAGTCTGCGTCTCTCTCATCATCATCATCATCACGGTGGCTAGGAGATGTTGACTACCTCGCCTGGTGTGCAGGAGGTCATGGGTTCAATCCCTGCCACTGACGATGCCTGCTGCTGCTGTAGATTTGGAGTCTGCGTCTCTCTCATCATCATCATCATCACGGTGGGCTAGAAGATGTTGACTACCTCGCCTGGTGTGCAGGAGGTCGTGGGTTCGATCCCGACCCTGACGACGCCTGCTGCTGCTGCTGTAGATTCGGAGTCTGCGTCTCTCATCATCATCATCATCACGGTGGCTAGGAGATGTTGACTACCTCGCCTGGTGTACAGGAGGTCGTGGGTTCAATCCCTGCCACTGACGATGCCTGCTGCTGCTGCTGCTGTACATTCGGAGTCTGCGTCTCTCTCTCTCTCTCATCATCATCATCATCACGGCGGGCTAGGAGACGTTAACTGCCTCGCCTGGTGTGCAGGAGGTCGTGGGTTCGATGCCATACACTACAATGCTCTGGTAGTACGTACAGCGTATGCATTGTCTGTGAAACTGATTGGTCTTTTGAAAGGAGTTGGTCCACCCCGAGGCTCTAAAAGAAAAGCTGTCTCTGATGCGGGCCAATCAGTTTCAAAGACAGCGGCATGACCCACGACCGGAGCGTGTTTCTTGTTTGAATGTTCCCTGCAAGCACTCCGCGTGTGGTTCATGCCAGGCGTGAGTCCTTGCAAAGGGTTTGTTTTGGCGTTTGAACGCCTCAACACGACTGCTACGTGGCCAGAGAGGGTGTTCGAACTTAACGATCGTCAAAGTTGTTTTTTTTTTTTAAAACACTGGGCAGGAATTGGGCAAAAACGGAAAAACGAAAACAGACACCGCCCCCGCCCCACCCCGAGTAGGCCGCCCCCTTTTTCACGCTACGCCGTTTCGTCTTCACCTCGTTCGTCCGCTGTGCGTCAGGCAGGGCCCGCCGCCGCCGACGGAACCGCGGCCAACGGAACCACGGCCAACGGAACCACGGCCAACGGAACCACGGCCAACGGAACCGCGGCCAACGGAACCACCGCCAACCGAAACGCCGCCAACAGAATGGCCGCCAACGGAACCACGGCCAACGGAACCACGGCCAATGGAACCGCCGCCGACGGAACCACGGCCAATGGAACCACGGCCAACGGAACCGCGGCCAACGGAACCACGGCCAACGGAACCACCGCCAACGGAACCACGGCCAACGGAACCACGGCCAACGGAACCGCGGCCAACGGAACCACGGCCAACGGAACCACCGCCAACGGAACCACCGCCAACGGAACCGCGGCCAACGGAACCACGGCCAACGGAACCGCGGCCAACGGAACCACGGCCAACGGAACCAGCACCAACGGAACCAGCGGTGAGCAAAGCGAGGCGAGCGCTCCCTCTCGCTCGCCGGGCGAGCGAGCGACTAGGTGAGAGTGTGCGAGCGGTACACACACACACGCGCACGTGCGTGTGTGTGTGTCTGTACCGCTCACTCACCTGATCGCTCGCTCGCTGGGTGAGTGAGCGGGTGAGCGAGCGACTAGGTGAGAGTGAGCGAGTGGTACACACACACACACACGTGCGTGTGTGTGTGTGTACCGCTCACTCACCTGATCGCTCGCTCGCTGGGTGAGTGAGCGGGTGAGCGATCAGGTGAGCGATGGTACAGACACACGCACGTCTACACTATACACTGCTGGTAGACTAACACTGCAACACACACTAACACCGCACACTAACACCGCACACTAACACCGCACACTAACACCACACACTAACACACCACACACTAACACCGCACACTAACACCGCACACTAACACACTAACACTGCAACACACACTAAAACACTAACACCACACACTAACACCACACACTAACACACTAACACCGCACACTAACACCACACACTAACACCGCACACTAACACACCACACACTAACACCGCACACTAACACCGCACACTAACACCGCACACTAACACACTAACACACCAACACACTAACACCACACACTAACACCACACACTAACACCACACACTAACACCACACACTAACACCACACACGAACACCACACACTGACACACTAACACCACACACTAACACCACACACTAACACCACACACTAACACCACACACTAACACACTAACACCACACACTAACACCACACACTAACACACTAACACCACACACTAACACCACACACTAACACCACACACTAACATCACACACTAACACCACACACTAACACACTAACACCACACACCACACACTAACACCACACACTAACACCACACACTAACACACTAACACCACACACTAACACCACACACTAACACCACACACTAACACCACACACTAACACCACACACTAACACACTAACACCACACACTAACACCACACACTAACACCACACACTAACACACTAACACCACACACTAACACCACACACTAACACCACACACTAACACCACACACTAACACCACACACTAACACCACACACCAACACACTAACACCACACACTAACACCACACACTAACACCACACACTAACACCACACACTAACACCACACACTAACACACCAACACACTAACACCACACACTAACACCACACACTAACACCACACACTAACACACTAACACCACACACTAACACCACACACTAACACCACTAACACCACACACTAACACCACACACTAACACCACACACTAACACCACACACTAACACCACACACTAACACCACACACTAACACCACTAACACCACACACTAACACCACACACTAACACCACACACTAACACCACACACTAACACACTAACACCACACACTAACACCACACACTAACACCACACACTAACACCACACACTAACACCACACACTAACACCACACACTAACACACTAACACCACACACTAACACCACACACTAACACCACACACTAACACCACACACTAACGCCACACACTAACACCACACACTAACACCACACACTAACACCACACACTAACACCACACACTAACACCACACACTAACACACTAACACCACACACTAACACCACACACCACACACTAACAACACACACTAACACACTAACACACTAACACCACACACTAACACCACACACTAACAACACACACTAACACCACACACTAACACCACACACTAACACCACACACTAACACACTAACACCACACACTAACACCACACACTAACACACTAACACACTAACACCACACACTAACACCACACACTAACACACTAACACACTAACACCACACACTAACACCACACACTAACACCACACACTAACACCACACACTAACACCACACACTAACACACCACACACTAACACCACACACTAAAACCACACACTAACACACTAACACCACACACTAACACCACACACTAACACCACACACTAACACCACACACTAACACACCACACACTAACACCACACACTAACACCACACACTAACACCACACACTAACACCACACACTAACACACTAACACCACACACTAACACACTAACACCACACACTAACACCACACACTAACACCACACACTAACACCACACACTAACACCACACACTAACACCACACACTAACACCACACACCAACACACTAACACCACACACTAACACCACACACTAACACCACACACTAACACCTCACACTAACACCACACACTAACACCACACACTAACACCACACACTAACACCACACACTAACACCACACACTAACACACTAACACCACACACTAACACCACACACTAACACACTAACACACTAACACCACACACTAACACCACACACTAACACCACACACTAACACACTAACACACTAACACCACACACTAACACCACACACTAACACCACACACTAACACCACACACTAACACCACACACTAACACCACACACCAACACACTAACACCACACACTAACACCACACACTAACACCACACACTAACACCTCACACTAACACCACACACTAACACCACACACTAACACCACACACTAACACCACACACTAACACCACACACTAACACACTAACACCACACACTAACACCACACACTAACACACTAACACACTAACACCACACACTAACACCACACACTAACACCACACACTAACACACTAACACCACACACTAACACCACACACTAACACCACACACTAACACCACACACTAACACCACACACTAACACTACACACTAACACACTAACACACCACACACTAAAACCACACACTAACACCACACACTAACACCACACACTAACACACTAACACCACACACTAACACCACACACTAAACACCACAACACTAACACCACACACTAACACCACACACTAACACCACACACTAACACCACACACTAACACCACACACTAACACACTAACACCACACACTAACACACTAACACCACACACCTAACACCACACACTAACACACTAACACCACACACTAACACCACACACTAACACCACACACTAACACCACACACTAACACCACACCCCAACACCACACACTAACACCCACACACTAACACCACACACTAACACCACACACTAACACCACACACTAACACCACACACTAACACCACACACTAACACCACACACTAACACCACACACTAACACACACACTAACACACTAACACACCACACACTAACACCACACACTAACACCACACACTAACACCACACACTAACACACAACACATAACACCACACACTAACACCACACACTAACACCACACACTAACACCACACACTAACACCACACACTAACACCACACACTAACACCTCACACTAACACCACACACTAACACCACACACTAACACCACACACTAACACCACACACTAACACCACACACTAACACCACACACTAACACACTAACACACCACACACTAACACCACACACTAACACCACACACTAACACCACACACTAACACACTAACACACTAACACCACACACTAACACCACACACTAACACCACACACTAACACCACACACTAACACCACACACTAACACCACACACTAACACACTAACACACCACACACTAACACCACACACTAACACCACACACTAACACACTAACACCACACACTAACACCACACACTAACACCACACACTAACACCACACACTAACACACTAACACACTAACACCACACACTAACACCACACACTAACACCACACACTAACACCACACACTAACACCACACACTAACACCACACACCAACACACTAACACCACACACTAACACCACACACTAACACCACACACTAACACCTCACACTAACACCACACACTAACACCACACACTAACACCACACACTAACACCACACACTAACACCACACACTAACACACTAACACCACACACTAACACCACACACTAACACACTAACACACTAACACCACACACTAACACCACACACTAACACCACACACTAACACACTAACACCACACACTAACACCACACACTAACACCACACACTAACACCACACACTAACACCACACACTAACACTACACACTAACACACTAACACACCACACACTAACACCACACACTAACACCACACACTAACACCACACACTAACACACTAACACCACACACTAACACCACACACTAACACCACACACTAACACCACACACTAACACCACACACTAACACCACACACTAACACCACACACTAACACCACACACTAACACACTAACACCACACACTAACACACTAACACCACACACTAACACCACACACTAACACACTAACACCACACACTAACACCACACACTAACACCACACACTAACACCACACACTAACACCACACACCAACACCACACACTAACACCCACACACTAACACCACACACTAACACCACACACTAACACCACACACTAACACCACACACTAACACCACACACTAACACCACACACTAACACCACACACTAACACCACACACTAACACACTAACACACCACACACTAACACCACACACTAACACCACACACTAACACCACACACTAACACCACACACTAACACCACACACTAACACCACACACTAACACCACACACTAACACCACACACTAACACCACACACTAACACCACACACCAACACACTAACACCTCACACTAACACCACACACTAACACCACACACTAACACCACACACTAACACCACACACTAACACCACACACTAACACCACACACTAACACACTAACACACCACACACTAACACCACACACTAACACCACACACTAACACCACACACTAACACACTAACACACTAACACCACACACTAACACCACACACTAACACCACACACTAACACCACACACTAACACCACACACTAACACCACACACTAACACACTAACACACCACACACTAACACCACACACTAACACCACACACTAACACACTAACACCACACACTAACACCACACACTAACACCACACACTAACACCACACACTAACACACTAACACACTAACACCACACACTAACACCACACACTAACACCACACACTAACACCACACACTAACACACTAACACCACACACTAACACACTAACACCACACACTAACACCACACACTAACACACTAACACCACACACTAACACCACACACTAACACCACACACTAACACCACACACTAACACCACACACCAACACCACACACTAACACCCACACACTAACACCACACACTAACACCACACACTAACACCACACACTAACACCACACACTAACACCACACACTAACACCACACACTAACACCACACACTAACACCACACACTAACACACTAACACACCACACACTAACACCACACACTAACACCACACACTAACACCACACACTAACACCACACACTAACACCACACACTAACACCACACACTAACACCACACACTAACACCACACACTAACACCACACACTAACACCACACACCAACACACTAACACCTCACACTAACACCACACACTAACACCACACACTAACACCACACACTAACACCACACACTAACACCACACACTAACACCACACACTAACACACTAACACACCACACACTAACACCACACACTAACACCACACACTAACACCACACACTAACACACTAACACACTAACACCACACACTAACACCACACACTAACACCACACACTAACACCACACACTAACACCACACACTAACACCACACACTAACACACTAACACACCACACACTAACACCACACACTAACACCACACACTAACACACTAACACCACACACTAACACCACACACTAACACCACACACTAACACCACACACTAACACACTAACACACTAACACCACACACTAACACCACACACTAACACCACACACTAACACCACACACTAACACCACACACTAACACCACACACTAACACACTAACACCACACACTAACACCACACACTAACACCACACACTAACACACCACCCTCCCACGTGATCTCTCCACGCCATAGCCGCCCTCCGTGTCACCGTCACCGGCATCACCAAGAGCTCCGTGTCGTTGGCGTTCTCCGGCCCCGACACCGGCGGCTACACCTACACCGTGGAACTGGTGCCGGTGCCGGGTTGGCCAGAGCCCGGCACCGGCACCGGCACCGGCACCGGCACCGGCACCGGCACCGGCACCGGCACCGTCACCGGCGCCGGCACCGGCACCGGCACCGGCGCCGGCGTGGTGGTGAGGAACTCGACGGGGGCGAGGACGTTCGAGGCGACGGGCCTTAGTGCCGGCACGGCGTACGCGGTGACGGTGAGGGCCACCGGCGGGCAGGCCGCCGGCCTCACGCTGGTCACCGGTGAGTGTGGTGAGGGTCACCGGTGAGTGTGGTGAGTGTGGTGAGTGTGGTGAGGGTCGGCGGTGAGTGTGGTGACGGTCACCGGTGAGTGTGGTGAGGGTTGAGTGTGGTGAGGGTTGATGGTGAGTGTGGTGAGGGTCACCGGTGAGTGTGGTGTGGGTTGATGGTGAGTGTGGTGAGGGTCACCGGTGAGTGTGGTGAGCGGTGAGTGTGGTGAGCGTGGTGAGGATCACCGGTGAGTGTGGTGAGGGTCACCGGTGAGTGTGGTGAGTGTGGTGAGTGTGGTGAGGGTCACCGGTGAGTGTGGTGAGGGTCACCGGTGAGTGTGGTGAGGGTCACCGGTGAGTGTGGTGAGCGGTGAGTGTGGTGAGGGTCACCAGTGAGTGTGGTGAGGGTCACCGGTGAGTGTGGTGAGCGGTGAGTGTGGTGAGCGTTGATGGTGAGTGTGGTGAGGGTCACCGGTGAGTGTGGTGAGGGTTGATGGTGAGTGTGTTGAGGGTCACCGGTGAGTGTGGTGAGCGGTGAGTGTGGTGAGGGTCACCAGTGAGTGTGGTGTGAATCACCGGTGAGTGTGGTGAGGGTCACCGGTGAGTGTGGTGAGCGGTGAGTGTGGTGAGCGTTGCTGGTGAGTGTGGTGTGGGTTGATGGTGAGTGTGGTGAGGGTCACCGGTGAGTGTGGTGTGAATCACCGGTGAGTGTGGTGAGGGTTGATGGTGAGTGTGGTGAGGATCACCGGTGAGTGTGGTGAGGGTTGATGGTGAGTGTGGTGAAGGTTGATGGTGAGTGTGGTGAGGGTTGATGGTGAGTGTGGTGAGGGTTGATGGTGAGTGTGGTGAGGGTTGATGGTGAGTGTGGTGAGGGTTGAGTGTGGTGAGGGTTGATGGTGAATGTGGTGAGCGTTGATGGTGAGTGTTGATGGTGAGTGTGGTGAGGGTTGATGGTGAGTGTGGTGAGCGTTGATGGTGAGTGTGGTGAGGGTTGATGGTGAGTGTGGTGAGGGTTGATGGTGAGTGTGGTGAGGGTTGATGGTGAGTGTGGTGAGGGTTGAGTGTGGTGAGGGTTGATGGTGAATGTGGTGAGCGTTGATGGTGAGTGTTGATGGTGAGTGTGGTGAGGGTTGATGGTGAGTGTGGTGAGCGTTGATGGTGAGTGTGGTGAGGGTTGATGGTGAGTGTGGTGAGGGTTGAGTGTGGTGAGGGTTGATGGTGAGTGTGGTGAGCGTTGATGGTGAGTGTGTTGAGGGTTGATGGTGAGTTTGGTGAGGATCACCGGTGAGTGTGGTGAGGGTTGATGGTGAGTGTGGTGTGGGTTGAGTGTGGTGAGCGTTGATGGTGAGTGTGGTGTGGATCACCGGTGAGTGTGGTGAGCGTTGATGGTGAGTGTGGTGAGGGTTGATGGTGAGTGTGGTGAGGGTTGATGGTGAGTGTGGTGAGGGTTGATGGTGAGTGTGGTGTGAATCACCGGTGAGTGTGGTGAGGGTTGATGGTGAGTGTGGTGAGCGTTGATGGTGAGTGTGGTGAGGGTTGATGGTGAGTGTGGTGAGGGTTGATGGTGAGTGTGGTGAGCGTTGATGGTGAGTGTGGTGAGGGTTGATGGTGAGTGTGGTGTGAATCACCGGTGAGTGTGGATTGCCGGTGAGTGTGGCTCAGATTGCCGGTGAGTGTGGTGAGGGTCACCGGTGAGTGTGGTGAGGGTTGATGGTGAGTGTGGTGAGCGTTGATGGTGAGCGTGGTGTGGATCACCAGTGAGTGTGGTGAGCGTTGATGGTGAGTGTGGTGAGGGTTGATGGTGAGTGTGGTGTGAATAACCGGTGAGTGTGGTGTGAATCACCGGTGAGTGTGGTGAGGGTTGATGGTGAGTGTGGTGAGCGTTGATGGTGAGTGTGGTGAGGGTTGATGGTGAGTGTGGTGAGGGTTGATGGTGAGTGTGGTGAGCATTGATGGTGAGTGTGGTGAGGGTTGATGGTGAGTGTGGTGTGAATCACCGGTGAGTGTGGTGTGAATCACCGGTGAGTGTGGTGAGGGTTGATGGTGAGTGTGGTGAAGGTTGATGGTGAGTGTGGTGAGGGTTGATGGTGAGTGTGGTGAGGGTTGATGGTGAGTGTGGTGAGGGTTGATGGTGAGTGTGGTGAGGGTTGAGTGTGGTGAGGGTTGATGGTGAATGTGGTGAGCGTTTATGGTGAGTGTTGATGGTGAGTGTGCTGAGGGTTGATGGTGAGTGTGGTGAGCGTTGATGGTGAGTGTGGTGAGGGTTGATGGTGAGTGTGGTGAGGGTTGATGGTGAGTGTGGTGAGGGTTGATGGTGAGTGTGGTGAGGGTTGAGTGTGGTGAGGGTTGATGGTGAATGTGGTGAGCGTTGATGGTGAGTGTTGATGGTGAGTGTGGTGAGGGTTGATGGTGAGTGTGGTGAGCGTTGATGGTGAGTGTGGTGAGGGTTGATGGTGAGTGTGGTGAGGGTTGAGTGTGGTGAGCGTTAATGGTGAATGTGGTGAACGTTGATGGTGAGTGTTGATGGTGAGTGTGGTGAGGGTTGATGGTGAGTGTGGTGAGCGTTGATGGTGAGTGTGGTGAGGGTTGATGGTGAGTGTGGTGAGGGTTGAGTGTGGTGAGCGTTAATGGTGAATGTGGTGAACGTTGATGGTGAGTGTTGATGGTGAGTGTGGTGAGGGTTGATGGTGAGTGTTGATGGTGAGTGTGGTGTGAATCACCGGTGAGTGTGGTGAGGGTTGATGGTGAGTGTGGTGTGAATCACCGGTGAGTGTGGATTGCCGGTGAGTGTGGCTCAGATTGCCGGTGAGTGTGTTGTAGATCACCGGTGAGTGTGGTGTGGATTGCTGGTGAGTGTGGTGTGGATTGCCGGTGAGTGTGGTGTGGATTGCCGGTGAGTGTGGTGTGGATTCCCGGTGAGTGCGGTGTGGATTCCCGGTGAGTGCGGTGTGGATTCCCGGTGAGTGCGGTGTGGATTGCCGGTGAGTGTGGCTCAGATTGCCGGTGAGTGTGGTGTGGATTGCCGGTGAGTGCGGTGTGGATTCCCGGTGAGTGTGGTGTGGATCACCGGTGAGTGTAGGAGGAACGTTGAGATTTATAAAGGGCACGGGATCACCAATGAGGTCTGAATTGGTCTGTAATAAGTTAGGAGACTGATAATGGGTTGATAGGTATGTAGTACTGTAGTGTATAGTGTAGTGTATAATGTAGTGTATAGTGTAGTGTATAATGTAGTGTATAGTGTAGTGTATAGTGTGGTGTATAGTAGTGTATAGTGTAGTGTATAGTAGTGTATAGTGTAGTGTATAGTAGTGTGTAGTGTATAGTAGTGTATAGTGTAGTGTATAGTAGTGTATAGTGTAGTGTATAGTGTAGTGTATAGTAGTGTGTAGTGTAGTGTATAGTAGTGTAGTGTATAGTGGTGTAGTGTGTAGTAGTGTAGTGTGTAGTGTATTGTAGTGTATAGTAGTGTAGTGTATAGTGTAATGTATAGTAGTGTATAGTGTAGTGTATAGTAGTGTATAGTGTAGTGTATAGTAGTGTCTAGTGTAGTGTATAGTGTAGTGTATAGTGTAGTGTATAATGTAATGTATAGTAGTGTGTAGTGTATAGTAGTGTAGTGTATAGTAGTGTAGTGTGTAGTAGTGCAGTGTGTAGTGTATAGTAGTGTATAGTAGTGTGGTGTATAGTGTAGTGTATAGTAGTGTATAGTGTAGTGTATAGTGTAGTGTATAGTAGTGTATAGTAGTGTATAGTGTAGTGTATAGTGTAGTGTATAGTAGTGTAGTGTGTAGTGTAGTGTATAGTAGTGTAGTGTATAGTTTAGTGTGTAGTGTAGTAGTGTATAGTGTAGTGTGCAGTGTAGTGTGTAGTGTATAGTGTAGTGTATAGTGTAGTGTATAGTGTAGTGTATAGTGTAGTGTATAGTAATGTATAGTGTAGTGTATAGTGTAGTGTATAGTGTAGTGTATAGTGTAGTGTAAAGTGTAGTGTATAGTGTAGTGTATAGTGTAGTGTATAGTAGTGTATAGTGTAGTGTATAGTGTAGTGTATAGTGTAGTGTATAGTAGTGTATAGTGTAGTGTAAAGTGTAGTGTATAGTGTAGTGTATAGTGTAGTGTATAGTAGTGTATAGTGTAGTGTATAGTGTAGTGTATAGTGTAGTGTATAGTAGTGTATAGTGTAGTGTATAGTGTAGTGTATAGTGTAGTGTAAAGTGTAGTGTATAGTAGTGTATAGTGTAGTGTATAGTGTAGTGTATAGTGTAGTGTATAGTAGTGTATAGTGTAGTGTATAGTGTAGTGTATAGTGTAGTGTATAGTGTAGTGTATAGTGTATAGTGTCGTGTATAGTGTAGTGTATAGTGTAGTGTATAGTGTATAGTGTAGTGTATAGTAGTGTATAGTAGTGTATAGTGTAGTGTATAGTGTAGTGTATAGTAGTGTATAGTGTAGTGTATAGTAGTGTATAGTGTAGTGTATAGTGTATAGTGTAGTGTATAGTGTAGTGTATAGTGTAGTGTATAGTAGTGTATAGTGTAGTGTATAGTGTATAGTGTAGTGTATAGTGTAGTGTATAGTAGTGTATAGTGTAGTGTATAGTAGTGTATAGTGTAGTGTATAGTAGTGTATAGTGTAGTGTATAGTGTAGTGTATAGTGTAGTGTATAGTGTAGTGTATAGTGTGGTGTATAGTGTAGTGTATAGTGTAGTGTATAGTGTATAGTGTAGTGTATAGTGTAGTGTATAGTGTAGTGTATAGTGTAGTGTATAGTGTAGTGTATAGTAGTGTATAGTAGTGTATAGTGTAGTGTATAGTGTAGTGTATAGTAGTGTATAGTAGTGTATAGTGTAGTGTATAGTGTAGTGTATAGTGTAGTGTATAGTAGTGTATAGTGTAGTGTATAGTAGTGTATAGTGTAGTGTATAGTGTATAGTGTAGTGTATAGTGTAGTGTATAGTGTAGTGTATAGTGTAGTGTATAGTAGTGTATAGTGTAGTGTATAGTGTATAGTGTAGTGTATAGTGTAGTGTATAGTAGTGTATAGTGTAGTGTATAGTAGTGTATAGTGTAGTGTATAGTAGTGTATAGTGTAGTGTATAGTGTAGTGTATAGTGTAGTGTATAGTGTAGTGTATAGTGTGGTGTATAGTGTAGTGTATAGTGTAGTGTATAGTGTATAGTGTAGTGTATAGTGTAGTGTATAGTGTAGTGTATAGTGTAGTGTATAGTGTAGTGTATAGTGTAGTGTATAGTAGTGTATAGTAGTGTATAGTGTAGTGTATAGTGTAGTGTATAGTAGTGTATAGTAGTGTATAGTGTAGTGTATAGTGTAGTGTATAGTGTAGTGTATAGTAGTGTATAGTGTAGTGTATAGTAGTGTATAGTGTAGTGTATAGTGTATAGTGTAGTGTATAGTGTAGTGTATAGTGTAGTGTATAGTGTAGTGTATAGTAGTGTATAGTAGTGTATAGTGTAGTGTATAGTGTATAGTGTAGTGTATAGTGTAGTGTATAGTAGTGTATAGTGTAGTGTATAGTAGTGTATAGTGTAGTGTATAGTAGTGTATAGTGTAGTGTATAGTGTAGTGTATAGTGTAGTGTATAGTGTAGTGTATAGTGTAGTGTATAGTGTGGTGTATAGTGTAGTGTATAGTGTAGTGTATAGTGTATAGTGTAGTGTATAGTGTAGTGTATAGTGTAGTGTATAGTGTAGTGTATAGTGTAGTGTATAGTAGTGTATAGTAGTGTATAGTGTAGTGTATAGTGTAGTGTATAGTAGTGTATAGTGTAGTGTATAGTGTAGTGTATAGTGTAGTGTATAGTGGTGTATAGTGTAGTGTATAGTGTAGTGTATAGTGTAGTGTATAGTGTAGTGTATAGTGTAGTGTATAGTGTAGTGTATAGTGTAGTGTATAGTGTAGTGTATAGTGGTGTATAGTGTAGTGTATAGTGTAGTGTATAGTGTAGTGTATAGTGTAGTGTCTAGTGTAGTGTATAGTGTAGTGTATAGTGTAGTGTATAGCAGTGTCTAGTGTAGTGTATAGTGTAGTGTATAGTGTAGTGTATAGTGTAGTGTATAATTTCCCTCTCTTTCTCTCTCTCTCCCCGTCCGTGCAAGAACCGTCTCCCGTGGTGTCGCTCGCCTCCGCGTGGACCGGCGGCTCGCTCACGGCGAGGTGGCAGCCCGAACCGACGGACCCCAACGCGCGCCACTACCTCTACGAGGCCTGGGCGTGGCGCGGCCCCGGGCTGTCGGGCTCCCCGGCCGGCATCGACGAGATTCCCGACGCCGATGCGAGATGCCGGTGGGAGTCGTCCTCGCCCTGCGGCTCCTCCTCCTCCTCCTCATCCTCATCATCCTCCTCAACATCCTCGTCCTCCTCAACCTCCTCATCCTCCTCCTCCTCAACCTCCTCGTCCTCCTCAACCTCCTCAACCTCCTCATCCTCCTCGTCCTCCTCATCCTCCTCAACATCCTCGTCAACCTCCTCAACCTCCTCGTCCTCCTCGTCCTCCTCCTCGTCGTCGGCTTCCTGCACGAACGCGACGGAGGTGACCTTCGCTGGACTGGAACCCGCAACGGAGTACCGGGGGTCCATCAGGGCGGTGGTCCAGGGGAAGGCTGGGGACTGCGTCACCTTCGCCGGAGTGACGGGTGAGCGGGTGGGGAGGGAGCGTGGTGAGCGGGGGGTGTGGTGAGCGGGGGGTGTGGTGTGGTGAGCGGGGGGGTGTGGTGTGGTGAGCGGGGGGTGTGGTGAGCGGGGGTGGGGTGAGCGGGGAGAGGTTGGGTGGAGAGGGGTGGGTGGGTGAGTGGCCACACTGATGAGTTGGTGGTGTGGACAAGGCTGAGTTGATGGTGTAGACAAGGCTGAGTTGGTGGTGTGGACAAGGCTGAGTTGGTGGTGTAGACAAGGCTAAGCTGGTGGTGTGGACAAGGCTAAGCTGGTGGTGTGGACAAGGCTGAGTTGGTGGTGTGGACAAGGCTGAGTTGGTGGTGTAGACAAGGCTAAGCTGCTGGTGTAGACAAAGCTAAGTTGGTGGTGTAGACAAGGCTAAGTTGGTGGTGTGGACAAGGCTAAGCTGGTGGTGTAGACAAGGCTAAGCTGGTGGTGTAGACAAGGCTAAGCTGGTGGTGTAGACAAGGCTAAGCTGGTGGTGTGGACAAGGCTGAGTTGGTGGTGTAGACAAGGCTAAGCTGGTGGTGTAGACAAGGCTAAGCTGGTGGTGTAGACAAGGCTAAGCTGGTGGTGTGGACAAGGCTGAGTTGGTGGTGTAGACAAGGCTAAGCTGGTGGTGTAGACAAGGCTAAGCTGGTGGTGTGGACAAGGCTAAGGTGGTGGTGTAGACAAGGCTAAGCTGGTGGTGTAGACAAGGCTAAGCTGGTGGTGTAGACAAGGCTAAGCTGGTGGTGTAGACAAGGCTAAGCTGGTGGTGTAGACAAGGCTAAGCTGGTGGTGTAGACAAGGCTAAGCTGGTGGTGTAGACAAGGCTGAGTTGGTGGTGTGGACAAGGCTGAGTTGGTGGTGTAGACAAGGCTAAGCTGGTGGTGTAGACAAGGCTAAGCTGGTGGTGTAGACAAGGCTAAGCTGGTGGTGTAGACAAGGCTAAGCTGGTGGTGTGGACAAGGCTGAGTTGGTGGTGTAGACAAGGCTAAGCTGGTGGTGTAGACAAGGCTAAGCTGGTGGTGTGGACAAGGCTGAGTTGGTGGTGTAGACAAGGCTAAGCTGGTGGTGTAGACAAGGCTAAGCTGGTGGTGTAGACAAGGCTAAGCTGGTGGTGTGGACAAGGCTGAGTTGGTGGTGTAGACAAGGCTAAGCTGGTGGTGTAGACAAGGCTAAGCTGGTGGTGTGGACAAGGCTAAGCTGGTGGTGTAGACAAGGCTAAGCTGGTGGTGTAGACAAGGCTAAGCTGGTGGTGTAGACAAGGCTAAGCTGGTGGTGTAGACAAGGCTAAGCTGGTGGTGTAGACAAGGCTAAGCTGGTGGTGTAGACAAGGCTAAGCTGGTGGTGTGGACAAGGCTGAGTTGGTGGTGTAGACAAGGCTAAGCTGGTGGTGTAGACAAGGCTAAGCTGGTGGTGTAGACAAGGCTAAGCTGGTGGTGTAGACAAGGCTAAGCTGGTGGTGTAGACAAGGCTAAGCTGGTGGTGTGGACAAGGCTGAGTTGGTGGTGTAGACAAGGCTAAGCTGGTGGTGTAGACAAGGCTAAGCTGGTGGTGTGGACAAGGCTGAGTTGGTGGTGTAGACAAGGCTAAGCTGGTGGTGTAGACAAGGCTAAGCTGGTGGTGTAGACAAGGCTAAGCTGGTGGTGTAGACAAGGCTAAGCTGGTGGTGTAGACAAGGCTAAGCTGGTGGTGTAGACAAGGCTAAGCTGGTGGTATAGACAAGGCTAAGCTGGTGGTGTGGACAAGGCTAAGCTGGTGGTGTAGACAAGGCTAAGCTGGTGGTGTAGACAAGGCTAAGCTGGTGGTGTAGACAAGGCTAGTCTGGTGGTGTAGACAAGGCTAAGCTGGTGGTGTAGACAAGGCTAAGCTAGTGGTGTGGACAAGGCTAAGCTGGTGGTGTAGACAAGGCTAAGCTGGTGGTGTAGACAAGGCTAAGCTGGTGGTGTACACAAGGCTAAGTTGGTGGTGTAGACAAGGCTAAGCTGGTGGTGTAGACAAGGCCAAGCTGGTGGTGTAGACAAGGCTAAGTTGGTGGTGTAGACAAGGCTAAGCTGGTGGTGTAGACAAAGCTAAGCTGGTGGTGTAGACAAGGCAAAGCTGGTGTTGTAGACAAGGCTAAGCTGGTGGTGTAGACAAGGCTAAGCTGGTGGTGTAGACAAAGCTAAGTTGGTGGTGTGGACAAGGCTAAGTTGGTGGTGTGGACAAAGCTAAGCTGGTGGTGTAGACAAGGCTAAGCTGGTGGTGTAGACAAGGCTAAGCTTGTGGTGTAGACAAGGCTAAGCTGGTGGTGTAGACAAGGCTAATCTTGTGGTGTAGACAAGGCTAAGCTGGTGGTGTGGACAAGGCTAAGCTGGTGGTGTAGACAAGGCTAAGCTGGTGGTGTAGACAAGGCTAAGATGGTGGTGTACACAAGGCTAAGCTGGTGGTGTAGACAAGGCTACGCTGGTGGTGTAGACAAGGCTAAGCTGGTGGTGTGGACAAGGCCGAGTTGGTGGTGTAGACAAGGCTAAGTTGGTGGTGTAGACAAGCCTAAGCTGGTGGTGTAGACAATGCTAAGCTGGTGGTGTAGACAAGGCTAAGCTGGTGGTGTAGACAAGGCTAAGCTGGTGGTGTAGACAAAGCTAAGTTGGTGGTGTAGACAAGGCTAAGCTGGTGGTGTAGACAAGGCTAAGTTGGTGGTGTAGACAAGGCTAAGCTGGTGGTGTAGACAAGGCTAAGTTGGTGGTGTAGACAAGGCTAAGTTGGTGGTGTAGACAAGGCTAAGCTGGTGGTGTAGACAAGGCTAAGCTGGTGGTGTAGACAAGGCTAAGTTGGTGGTGTAGACAAGGCTAAGCTGGTGGTGTAGACAAGGCTAAGCTGGTGGTGTAGACAAGGCTAAGCTGGTGGTTTAGACAAGGCTAAGTTGGTGGTGTAGACAAGGCTAAGCTGGTGGTGTAGACAAGGCTAAGCTGGTGGTGTAGACAAGGCTAAGCTGGTGGTGGTGTAGACAAGGCTAAGGTGGTGGTGTAGACAAGGCTAAGCTGGTGGTGTAGACAAGGCTAAGCTGGTGGTGTAGACAAGGCTAAGCTGGTGGTGTAGACAAGGCTAAGCTGGTGGTGTAGACAAGGCTAAGCTGGTGGTGTAGACAAGGCTAAGCTGGTGGTGTAGACAAGGCTAAGCTGGTGGTGTAGACAAGGCTAAGCTGGTGGTATAGACAAGGCTAAGTTGGTGGTGTAGACAAGGCTAAGCTGGTGGTGTAGACAAGGCTAAGCTGGTGGTGTAGACAAGGCTAAGTTGGTGGTGTAGACAAGGCTAAGCTGGTGGTGTAGACAATGCTAAGCTGGTGGTGTAGACAAGGCTGAGTTGGTGGTGTAGACAAGGCTAAGCTGGTGGTGTAGACAAGGCTAAGTTGGTGGTGTAGACAAGGCTAAGCTGGTGGTGTAGACAAGGCTAAGCTGGTGGTGTAGACAAGGCTAAGCTGGTGGTGTAGACAAGGCTAAGCTGGTGGTGTAGACAAGGCTAAGCTGGTGGTGTAGACAAGGCTAAGCTGGTGGTGTAGACAAGGCTAAGTTGGTGGTGTAGACAAGGCTAAGCTGGTGGTGTAGACAAGGCTAAGCTGGTGGTGTAGACAAGCCTAAGCTGGTGGTGTAGACAAGGCTAAGTTGGTGGTGTAGACAAGGCTAAGCTGGTGGTGTAGGCAAGGCTAAGCTGGTGGTGTAGACAAGGCTAAGTTGGTGGTGTAGACAAGGCTAAGCTGGTGGTGTAGACAATGCTAAGCTGGTGGTGTAGACAAGGCTGAGTTGGTGGTGTAGACAAGGCTAAGCTGGTGGTGTAGACAAGGCTAAGTTGGTGGTGTAGACAAGGCTAAGCTGGTGGTGTAGACAAGGCTAAGCTGGTGGTGTAGACAAGGCTAAGCTGGTGGTGTAGACAAGGCTAAGCTGGTGGTGTAGACAAGGCTAAGCTGGTGGTGTAGACAAGGCTCAGCTGGTGGTGTAGACAAGGCTAAGTTGGTGGTGTAGACAAGGCTAAGCTGGTGGTGTAGACAAGGCTAAGCTGGTGGTGTAGACAAGGCAAAGCTGGTGGTGTAGACAAGGCCGAGTTGGTGGTGTAGACAAGGCTAAGTTGGTGGTGTAGACAAGGCTAAGCTGGTGGTGTAGACAAGGCTAAGTTGGTGGTGTAGACAAGGCTAAGTTGGTGATGTAGACAAGGCCGAGTTGCTGGTGTAGACAAGGCTAAGCTGGTGGTGTAGACAAGGCTAAGTTGGTGATGTAGACAAGGCTAAGCTGGTGGTGTGGACAAGGCTAAGCTGGTGGTGTAGACAAGGCTAAGCTGGTGGTGTAGACAAGGCTAAGCTGGTGGTGTAGACAAGGCTAAGCTGGTGGTGTAGACAAGGCTAAGCTGGTGGTGTAGACAAGGCTAAGCTGGTGGTGTAGACAAGGCTAAGCTGGTGGTGTAGACAAGGCTAAGCTGGTGGTGTAGACAAGGCTAAGCTGGTGGTGTGGACAAGGCTAAGCTGGTGGTGTAGACAAGGCTAAGCTGGTGGTGTAGACAAGGCTAAGCTGGTGGTGTAGACAAGGCTAAGCTGGTGGTGCAGACAAGGCTAAGCTGGTGGTGTAGACAAGGCTAAGCTGGTGGTGTAAACTCGCCCGAGTTGGTGGTGTAGACAAGGCTAAGCTGGTGGTGGAGACTCGCCCGAGTTGGTGGTGTAGACAAGGCTGAGCTGGTGGTGTAGACAAGGCCAAGCTGGTGGTGTAGACAAGGCTAAGCTGGTGGTGTGGACAAGGCTAAGTTGGTGGTGTAGACAAGGCTAAGCTGGTGGTGTGGACAAGGCTAAGCTGGTGGTGTAGACAAGGCTAAGCTGGTGGTGTAGACAAGGCTAAGCTGGTGGTGTAGACAAGGCTAAGCTGGTGGTGTAGACACGGCTAAGCTGGTGGTGTAGACAAGGCTAAGTTGGTGTTGTGGACAAGGCTAAGCTGGTGGTGGAGACAAGGCCGAGTTGGTGATGTCGACAAGGCTGAGCCCACCATGACCCCCCCACCACCACCACTCCCCACCACCACCACCACCCACCACCACCACCCCCCCACCACTACCACCCCCCCCCCCCCCACCACCACACCACCACCCCCACCACCACCTACAGCGCCTGCCGCCGTGCGAGGCTTCTCCGTGTCCCTCACGACGCCCGTCACCGACTCATCCGTCCCTCTCGAGTGGCTGCCGGCGTCGGCCGGGCCGGGCCTGGTGGCCCGCTACCGCATCACCGTCGCCTCCTCCTCCTCCTCCTCCTCCTCCTTCAACTCCACCTCGTCGCCGCGAGTGCTCCTCGTCGAGGGCACCCGCCACGTGCTCCACAGCCTTCGGCCCGCCACTCACTACAGCCTCCTGCTGGCCGCCTGCAATGGCCGCGCCGGGGGCGGTGACGCGCGATGCGGCGCTGACGTGGGGCTTGACGTCACCACCAGTGAGGGGCGGGGCTTGGGGGAGGGGGGAGGGGCGAGGAGGAGGGGGTTCAGTTTTCAGTTTATTCATTTTGCTATAGCCCCTGTGAGCCATTCGGCTCTTGAATCGGAGTGCAACCACACAAAAAAAACAAAAACACGAACAAGAAAAAACATCTTGAAGTGACTCTGTGTGACTGTGCAAACAGAAAATCCATTGGCGGAAAAAAAAAAATAGCAAAAATATTCCTGAAAAAAAGCACCGTACACCAACGCTATGTGCCTTTCCAAACTTCCAAATGTATCATCACCCTTACTAGCCTGCAAACCAACGCGTAATTTTCTAAATTCTTAAATCGTTTCTTCTCACCCACACAATTTTATGGCACGCATCACGAGCGCAACAATCTATTTTAGACGATTCATGAAGCTATTGCTTAAATGCCCGGTACGTGGATTTCACCACACACCAATTGGCAGACTCGCTGTCTTATCCGAAATGAAGTTAAACGGTGTGCATTTAATAAAGATAGCGCGTGGAGTGGTGGCACAAGTGGTTAGGAAAACTGGCAAAACGTGTTTGATTCCAGGCCACCAGTGGTGGATGATATTTGAACTGGATTTATCGCTGCCGCTTCCCCAACCCGCATTGGATATTGTGGTTAAGTCGAGTCACCAAACCCCCACAGTCAACACGGTGTTGGAGAGACCATCTACAAAGTGGAATGATAAAGTACTGCGATCTATAATCTTAGTTTTTTTTCGGTAAAGTCACGTTGAAGGGAAACAACAAAATAATAAAATATATATTGTTTTATATATATTTTATATTGTATTTTATATTGTTTTGTATATATTTTTATTATTTTGTTGTTTTCCTTCAACGTCGACTTTACCGAAAAAACTAAGAATATGAATTACTGCAGTCACGAAAGCTTTAAATCAAAATTTGCTGCGATATAATTATTGTTTTTAGGCAGTGGGCACAGTGGACTGAGTGAGGAGGGGGTGGAGGAGGAGGGGGGTCAGGGGGGGGGGTGGAGGAGGAGGGGGGTGAGGAAGGGGGGGGGTAGGGAGGGCCTCCCCTAGGTCGACTCAGCCTCAACTGAGCGCCTGGTGTAGCGGTGTGTAGTGAACATCGCTAGCACTGGGGGAGAGACAAAGGCGGTCGGGCGTGGTGCTGGCCACCCACCCCCTCGTGTTGCCGTTCCGGACTTCATAGGTGGTGCTCGCTAACAGCACTTGCCCCTACAGTCTGTTAAGGCTACACGGGGGATCTTTGTCTTTGTGTGCACGTGTGTGTGTCTGTGTGCGTGTGTGTGTGTGTGTCTGTGTGTGTTGTGTGTGTGTATGTGTGTGTATGTGTGTGTATATGTGTATGTGTGTATGTCTGTGTGTATGTGTGTGTGTGTCTGTGTGTGTGTCTGTGTGTGTTTGTGTGTGTATGTATGTCTGTGTGTGTATGTGTCTGTGTGTGTCTGTGTGTGTGTGTGTCTGTATGTGTGTCTGTATGTGTGTGTGTATGTGTGTGTGTGTATGTGTGTGTGTCTGTGTGTGTCTATGTGTGTGTGTATGTGTCTGTGTGTGTATATATGTCTGTGTGTGTGTGTTGTGTGTGTGTATGTGTGTGTCTGTGTATGTGTGTGTGTATGTGTGTGTATGTGTGTGTGTATGTGTGTATGTATGTCTGTGTGTATGTCTGTGTGTGTCTGTGTGTGTGTGTCTGTGTGTGTGTGTGTCTGTGTGTGTGTATGTATGTCTGTGTATGTGTGTGTATGTGTGTGTGTATGTATGTCTGTGTGTATGTGTGTGTATGTGTGTATGTGTGTGTGTATGTGTCTGTGTGTGTATGTGTGTGTGTATGTGTCTGTGTGTGTCTGTATGTGTGTGTATGTGTGTATGTGTGTGTATGTCTGTGTGTGTCTATGTGTGTGTGTATGTGTGTGTATGTATGTCTGTGTGTGTATGTGTGTGTATGTCTGTGTGTGTCTATGTGTGTGTGTATGTGTGTGTATGTATGTCTGTGTGTGTATGTGTGTATGTATGTCTGTGTGTGTGTATGTGTGTATGTGTGTGTGTGTATGTGTGTGTGTCTGTGTGTGTCTGTGTGTGTGTGTGTCCCAGAGGAGCAAGTGAACCCCGCAGTGATCGCTGGCGGGGTTCTGGGCGTCACGCTGCCGCTGGCCGTCATCGGAACCCTCGGATTCCTCTACCTGAAGCACAAGCACCGGGGCCGCCGGTTCGTACCCCCCCCCCACTCACACCCCCACTCACACCCCCACTCACACCCCCACTCACACCCCCACTCACACCCCCACTCACACCCCCACTCACACCTCCCACTCACACCCCCACTCACACCCCCACTCACACCCCCACTCACACCCCCACTCACACCCCCACTCACACCCCCCCACTCACACCCCTACTCACCCCCCCACTCACACCCCCACTCACACCCCCACTAACACCCCCACTCACACCCCCCCCACTCACACCCCCACTCACACCCCCACTCACACCCCCACTCACACCTCCCACTCACACCCCCACTCACACCCCCACTCACACCCCCACTCACACCCCCACTCACACCCTCACTCACACCCTCACTCACACCCCCACTCACACCCCCACTCACACCCCCACTCACACCCCCCCACTCACACCCCTACTCACACCCCCACTCACACCCCCACTCACACCCCCACTCACACCCCCACTCACACCCTCACTCACACCCCCACTCACACCCCCTTTCACACCCTCACTCACACCCCCACTCACACCCTCACTCACACCCTCACTCACACCCCCACTCACACCCCCACTCACACCCCCACTCACACCCCCACTCACACCCCCACTCACACCCTCACTCACACCCCCACTCACACCCCACTCACACCCCCACTCACACCCCCACTCACACCCTCACTCACACCCCCACTCACACCCCCACTCACCCCCCCCCACTCACACACCCACTCACACCCCCACTCACATCCCCCACTCACACCCCCACTCACACCCCCCCACTCACACCCCCACTCACACCCCCACTCACCCCCCCACTCACACCCCCACTCACACCCCCACTCACACCCCCACTCACACCCCCACTCACACCTCCCACTCACACCCCCACTCACACCCCCACTAACACTCCCCCCACTCACACCCCCACTCACACCCCCACTCACACCCCCACTCACACCCCCCCCACTCACACCCCCACTCACACCCCCACTCACCCCCCACTCACACCCCCACTCACACCCCCACTCACACCCCCACTCACACCCCCACTCACACCCCCACTCACACCCCCACTCACACCCCCACTCACACCCCCACTCTCGATGTGAGTGAGTCTGTGGGTATCTGTGTGGTGAGTCTGTGGGTCTCTGTGTGGTGAGTCTGTGTGTCTCTGTGTGGTGAGTCTGTGTGTCTCTGTGTGATGAGTCTGTGGGTTTCTGTGTGGTGAGTCTGTGTGTCTCTGTGTGGTGAGTCTGTGGGTCTCTATGTGGTGAGTCTGTGGGTCTCTGTGTGGTGAGTCTGTGGGTCTCTGTGTGGTGAGTCTGTGGGTCTCTGTGTGCTGAGTCTGTGGGTCTCTGTGTGGTGAATCTGTGGGTCTCTGTGTGGTGAGTCTGTGGGTCTCTGTGTGGTGAGTCTGTGTGTCTCTGTGTGGTGAGTCTGTGAGTCTCTGTGTGGTGAGTCTGTGGGTCTCTGTGTGATGAGTCTGTGGGTCTCTGTGAGTCTCTGTGTAGTGAGTCTGTGGGTCTCTGTGTGGTGAGTCTGTGGGTCTCTGTGTGGTGAGCCTGTGGGTCTCTATGTGGTGAGTCTGTGGGTCTCTGTGTGGTGAGTCTGTGGGTCTCTGTGTGGTGAGTCTGTGGGTCTCTGTGTGGTGAGTCTGTGGGTCTCTGTGTGGTGAGTCTATGGGTCTCTGTGTGGTGAGTCTGTGGGTCTCTGTGTGGTGAGTCTGTGTGTCTCTGTGTGGTGAGTCTATGGCTCTCTACGTGGTGAGTCTGTGAGTCTCTGTGTGATGAGTCTATGGGTCTCTGCGTGATGAGTCTGTGAGTCTCTGTGTGATGAGTCTGTGGGTCTCTGTGTGGTGAGTCTGTGGGTCTCTGTGTGGTGAGTCTGTGTGTCTCTGCGTGGTGAGTCTGTGGCTCTCTGCGTGATGAGTCTGTGAGTCTCTGTGTGATGAGTCTGTGGGTCTCTGTGTGGTGAGTCTGTGGGTCTCTGTGTGGTGAGTCTATGGGTCTCTGTGTGGTGAGTCTATGGCTCTCTGTGTGATGAGTCTGTGTGTCTCTGCGTGATGAGTTTGTGAGTCTCTGTGTGATGGAGTCTACGGCTCTCTGCGTGATGGAGCCTACGGCTCTCTGCATGCCGTACGTCCTTCTCAAAGAAGTGAGTTCGTCACTTCAACACGATGCCAAAGCGCTTGACGTCCCATTCCTCCCGTGTCCGTGTCCGTGCGTCCGTCCACCCCAGAGACAACAAGCCCACAGTCATCGCGAACCGCGCACTGCCCTTGAAGTGAGTCCCTCCATCAACCGCCTGCTACGCTCGCTCGCCATTCCACCTCTTTGCTAGCGCAGAGCGTCGGATTCAGCTTCTTCTTATTCTTCATCTTAACCTGGGGGGTGCCAGCGAGGCGCGGTGAGATTATATTTTTTTTGCGGAAGGTGTAGAATCGAAAAGGCGAATTGAGCACCCGGCGTCATGAAACCATGCGGTGTGTTCATGGAGAATTGCGGATTTGTTTTTTGTTAAACGCTGAGAGAGGTTAAGAACCATTGCACTACGCAATGCACTCCTGTACAATACACGATACTCTACACCACTGTACACTACACTATACACTACACTATACACTACACGATACTCTACACTTTACACTACTATAAACTACACTATACACTACACTATACACTACACTATACACTACACTATACACTACGCTATACACTACACTATACACTACACTCCTGTACACTACACTATATACTACACTATACACTCCTGTACGCTACACTATACACTACTATACGCTACACTATACACTACACTATACACTACTATACACTACACTATACACTACACTATACACTACACTATACACTACACTGCTGTACACTACACTACACACTACACTATACACTCCTGTACGCTACACTATACACTATTATACACTACTATACACTGCACTATACACTACTATACACTACTATACACAACACTACTATACACTACACTATACACTACACTTTACACTACACTATACACTACACTATACACTACTATAAACTACACTATACACTACACTATACACTACTATACACTACACTATACACTACACTATACATTACGATAAATTACAATATACACTACACTATACACTTCACTGTACACTACAATCCTGTACACGACACTACACACTACACTATACATTACACTATACACTACACTATACACTCCTGTACGCTACGCTATACACTACTATACGCTACACTACTATACACTATACACTACACTATACACTAAACTACAACATGCACTACTATACACTACACTATACACTACTATACACTACACTATACACTACACTAGTATACACTACACTATACACTACTATACATTACACTATACACTACACTATACACTACACTATACACTACAGTATACACTACTATACACTACACTATACACTACACTATACACTACACTATACACTACTATACACTACACTACACTACACACTACACTATACACTATACTATACACTACACTATACACTACACTATAGACTACACTATACACTACACTATACACTACACTATACACTACTATACACTACACTATACACTACACTATACACTACACTATACACTACACTATACACTACACTATACACCACACTATACATTACACTATACACTACACTATACACTACACTATACACTACTATACACTACACTATACACTACTATACACTACACTATACACTACACTATACACTACACTATACACTACACTATACACTACTATACACTACACTATACACTACACTATACACTACACTATACACTACAGTATACACTACACTATACACTACACCAGTGGTTCTTCTTTACCTGGGGTGCACGCTGCACCCGGCTTGGGGTGCTAAAGGGCAGTGCTGAGTCTATGGTGCAGTGTTGAGTCTATGGGCAGTGTTGTGTCTATGGGCAGTGTTGAGTCTATGGGCAGTGTTGAGTCTATGGGCAGTGTTGAGTCTATGGGCAGTGTTGAGTCTATGGTGCAGTGTTGAGTCTAAGGGCAGTGTTGAGTCTATGGGCAGTGTTGAGTCTATGGGCAGTGTTGAGTCTATGGGCAGTGTTGTGTCTATGGGCAGTGTTGAGTCTATGGGCAGTGTTGAGTCTATGGGCAGTGTTGAGTCTATGGGCAGTGTTGTGTCTATGGGCAGTGTTGTGTCTATGGGCAGTGTTGAGTCTATGGGCAGTGTTGAGTCTATGGGCAGTGTTGAGTCTATGGGCAGTGTTGAGTCTATGGTGCAGTGTTGTGTCTATGGGCAGTGTTGAGTCTATGGTGCAGTGTTGTGGCTATGGGCAGTGTTGAGTCTATGGGCAGTGTTGAGTCTATGGGCAGTGTTGTGTCTATGGTGCTGTGTTTAGTCTATGGGCAGTGTTGAGTCTATGGGCAGTGTTGTGTCTATGGGCAGTGTTGAGTCTATGGGCAGTGTTGAGTCTATGGGCAGTGTTGAGTCGATGGGCAGTGTTGAGTCTATGGGCAGTGTTGTGTCTATGGTGCAGTGTTGAGTCTATGGGCAGTGTTGAGTCTATGGGCAGTGTTGAGTCTATGGGCAGTGTTGTGTCTATGGGCAGTGTTGAGTCTATGAGCAGTGTTGAGTCTATGGGCAGTGTTGAGTCTATGGGCAGTGTTGAGTCTATGGGCAGTGTTGAGTCTATGGGCAGTGTTGAGTCTATGGTCCAGTGTTGAGTCTATGGGCAGTGTTGAGTCTATGGGCAGTGTTGAGTCTATGGGTAGTGTTGAGTCTATGGTGCAGTGTTGAGTCTATGGGCAGTGTTGAGTCTATGGGCAGTGTTGAGTCTATGGTGCAGTGTTGAGTCTATGGGCAGTGTTGTGTCTATGGTGCTGGGTTTAGTCTATGGTGCAGTGTTGAGTCTATGGGCAGTGTTGAGTCTATGGGCAGTGTTGAGTCTATGGGCAGTGTTGAGTCTATGGTGCAGTGTTGTGTCTATGGGCAGTGTTGAGTCTATGGTGCAGTGTTGTGGCTATGGGCAGTGTTGAGTCTATGGGCAGTGTTGAGTCTATGGGCAGTGTTGTGTCTATGGTGCTGTGTTTAGTCTATGGGCAGTGTTGAGTCTATGGGCAGTGTTGTGTCTATGGGCAGTGTTGAGTCTATGGGCAGTGTTGAGTCTATGGGCAGTGTTGAGTCGATGGGCAGTGTTGAGTCTATGGGCAGTGTTGTGTCTATGGTGCAGTGTTGAGTCTATGGGCAGTGTTGAGTCTATGGGCAGTGTTGAGTCTATGGGCAGTGTTGAGTCTATGAGCAGTGTTGTGTCTATGGGCAGTGTTGAGTCTATGGTGCAGTGTTGAGTCTATGGGCAGTGTTGTGTCTATGGTGCTGGGTTTAGTCTATGGTGCAGTGTTGAGTCTATGGGCAGTGTTGAGTCTATGGGCAGTGTTGAGTCTATGGGCAGTGTTGAGTCTATGGTGCAGTGTTGTGTCTATGGGCAGTGTTGAGTCTATGGTGCAGTGTTGTGGCTATGGGCAGTGTTGAGTCTATGGGCAGTGTTGAGTCTATGGTGCAGTGTTGTGTCTATGGGCAGTGTTGAGTCTATGGTGCAGTGTTGTGGCTATGGGCAGTGTTGAGTCTATGGGCAGTGTTGAGTCTATGGGTAGTGTTGAGTCTATGGTGCAGTGTTGAGTCTATGGGCAGTGTTGAGTCTATGGTGCAGTGTTGAGTCTATGGGCAGTGTTGTGTCTATGGTGCTGGTTTTAATCTATGGTGCAGTGTTGAGTCTATGGGCAGTGTTGAGTCTATGGGCAGTGTTGAGTCTATGGGCAGTGTTGAGTCTATGGTGCAGTGTTGTGTCTATGGGCAGTGTTGAGTCTATGGTGCAGTGTTGTGGCTATGGGCAGTGTTGAGTCTATGGGCAGTGTTGAGTCTATGGGCAGTGTTGTGTCTATGGTGCTGTGTTTAGTCTATGGGCAGTGTTGAGTCTATGGGCAGTGTTGTGTCTATGGGCAGTGTTGAGTCTATGGGCAGTGTTGAGTCATATGGGCAGTGTTGAGTCGATGGGCAGTGTTGAGTCTATGGGCAGTGTTGTGTCTATGGTGCAGTGTTGAGTCTATGGGCAGTGTTGAGTCTATGGGCAGTGTTGAGTCTATGGGCAGTGTTGTGTCTATGGGCAGTGTTGAGTCTATGAGCAGTGTTGTGTCTATGGGCAGTGTTGAGTCTTAGGGCAGTGTTAAGTCTATGGTGCAGTGTTGAGTCTATGGGCAGTGTTGTGTCTATGGGCAGTGTTGTGTCTATGGGCAGTTTTGAGTCTATGGGCAGTGTTGAGTCTATGGGCAGTGTTGAGTCTATGGGCAGTGTTGAGTCTATGGGCAGTGTTGAGTCTATGGGCAGTGTTGAGTCTATGGTGCAGTGTTGTGTCTATGGTGCTGTGTTTAGTCTATGGGCAGTCTTGAGTCTAGGGGCAGTGTTGTGTCTGTGGGCAGTGTTGAGTCTATGGGCAGTGTTGAGTCTATGGGCAGTGTTGAGTCTATGGGCAGTGTTGAGTCTTTGGGCAGTGTAGAGTCTATGGGCAGTGTTGAGTCTATGGTGCAGTGTTGAGTCTATGGGCAGTGTTGAGTCTATGGGCAGTGTTGAGTCTATGGGCAGTGTTGAGTCTATGGTGCAGTGTTGAGTCTATGGGCAGTGTTGAGTCTATGGTGCAGTGTTGAGTCTATGGGCAGTGTTGAGTCTATGGGCAGTTTTGAGTCTATGGGCAGTGTTCAGTCTATGGGCAGTGTTGTGTCTATGGGCAGTGTTGAGTCTATGGGCAGTGTTGAGTCTATGGGCAGTGTTGAGTCTATGGGCAGTGTTGAGTCTATGGGCAGTGCTGAGTCTATGGGCAGTGTTGTGTCTACGGGCAGTGTTGAGTCTATGGGCAGTGTTGAGTCTATGGGCAGTGTTGAGTCTATGGGCAGTGTTGAGTCTATGGGCAGTGTTGAGTCTATGGGCAGTGTTGAGTCTATGGGCAGTGTTGAGTCTATGGGCAGTGTTGAGTCTATAGGCAGTGTTGAGTCTATGGGCAGTGTTGAGTCTACGGGCAGTGTTGAGTCTATGGACAGTGTTGAGTCTATGGGCAGTGGTGTGTCTATGGGCAGTGTTGAGTCTATGGGCAGTGTCGAGTCTATGGGCAGTGTTGTGTCTATGGGCAGTGTTGTGTCTATGGGCAGTGTTGAGTCTATGGTGCAGTGTTGAGTCTATGGGCAGTGTTGTGTCTATGGGCAGTGTTGAGTCT